AAAAAAAAAGTTTTGACAACATTTAATTTCAGGTTCGAAAACTAGATGTAGCTGACGGTCCGATTTTTAAAGCTGTCAATGGCTGTAAGTGTGACGGCCCTGCTTTGTTACTCGATTTTTATTTGCAACTATACTATTTAATAACATGTTAATTTTTAGAAGAAAAGCAAAAGATTACAAAAAGCAAGTATGCATTCCATTATTGGTTTTAATGTGGAAATATGCGATTGCACGATCACATCGTTATTGCCACTCTTTTTGGGAAATCTTTAGCGGTGTCTCGGTATTTTTCCTTTTATTTTTCGTTTATCAAACGACTAAGAGCGCGAGGTCTGAGCCTGACGTGAGTATGAAACATTTTGTATGTGATATGTACTAAGTATTCGGAAAAATATTTAAAATACCCATTTCTATATAACTTATTACAGTTCAATCAATCTGTGGTAAGGGTGTTCTTCACTCCAGATAATAGTTATACAAGACGGCTAATTAACAGAGCTGCGAATTATTTAGCTCAAAATGAAATCGGTAAGAATAGGATATAATTATATTTTAACATTAGATTAGATTATCTAACTGTTCTATAGATTCCTATAGATTACAAAGGAACACTTAAATTAATTTGATGTTTGTTTTTTGTTCTTCTAATAACTGAATACCTCCATAGTCTGTGTACACCATCTAAAATGCAATTTGTGATTAATACATGTCAAATTCATGCTATTCATGTTTTATAGAAACTGGAACAAATCGGCAGTGGAGGTTTGAAGGCTTCAAGTATCCATTGGATGAAAGAAAATTTAATAGCTCCCAAGATGTTGTGGTGGTGGACTTTAAAGTATATTTTTTACATATTTTATAGTGAGGGAAACCCATGACAGATTACCGTACACTGCAACTATTGTAACCTAGCGATTTATAAAAATTAAGTACTTCTACATACACCTACCACCTTTTTTTGTGAAGATGAAAGATCATGTAATGACTACAAGGGTGTTGGATTTTTACTGATTAAAAAGAAAATACTTCTTCCAACTCTTCTTCTCTACGCCAAGGCCTCAATTCCAATCTCGCTTAAAACTCTGCATAAATCCTTGAAGAGGTTGTATGCATAGAGGTTGTTTTTTTATCATGTGGGAAACCTTTAAAAGTGTAGCATTTTGGGGACAAAGACTTAAGGACTGTGGAATTCTGCACATACTAAAACCTCCATGGTCACCTTGTACCTAAGTTCCAGCTAGGTAGTGTAGGTATTAGTTTTGTTGCCAGTCTGGGTTCCGTGTTATACAACTTAAGGTTGTTAAAAAAAATATGTTTTTTTTTTCAGAGTAACTCTACAAACACTCCTTTGGAGTACTCTATAGATGCTGGCACTAGAGTGCAAGATAACAAATTCAACAAAGCAATAAATGGATATTTTCGTAGTTTTGTTCCACCAGGTTTGTTAAAAACCTTAATACTAGATAGTTAAGTACTTACCTAGTTAAATTACATAAATGCAGATTAAGCTTCCTTGTGCGTACTGCTAAGGAGTGGAATTCTTTGCTAGTCTGTATTTCCTGAAGGGTAAACTGGGTGTCTTCAAGGCCTGAGTGAATAGGTTGCTTATGGGACAATGTGCTCCATCATAGACCGCTTCATCGCTTACCACCAGGCGAGATAGTGGTCAAACATTGGCCTATCAAATATTATTATTATTTTATAAAATAATATTCAATAAACTATGTTTAAAAAAACAACTTTGACCTCCTTTTTTATGTTAAAGTTGGATAATTTTCTAAAAACTGCTCCTAACTTCTAAGAGTAACACTTCTGAATTGTCTCTGCTCTCACTCCGCATCAAAATGGGTTCAGCCAATTGCCAAATGATTGCAGACAAACATACATAATTATGTACATTCCAGCTATACTGAACACCTGTTTCTAATAGTAATAATTTCTCTTAATTATGGGTCATGGGTATCTATGTGTACATGGTTCTGATTAATGTTCAAACTGTATTTGATCATTAATTGGAACTAAACCGTATGCCATCAACATAAGATGCATTATCCTAAATTAGGTATTTATTAAACTATCTCTTTTTACAGAGAAAGTGGCTCCACCACACATGGGATTGCTTCAATGGGCAATAGACAAGTCTTACATAGAACAACGTATTGGAAAGGCCATTGTACAGGTAAATAATTATAATAGGGTAGATTTTTATTTTAATGTCCGTCTGGTAGATTATTTAAAAACATTAGACACGTACTTTCTTACGGAAACGAATAGTTTCGAAGATATAGAGGTATTGATTTGAAATATCGCATGACGTCACTTTTAAGTACGATTTATACTCTAAAATGACGTCGCTACTCGCTACCTCCCACACCTAAACTTTGATTCGTTTTATCTAAGTATTGTTTTCTTATACGACAAAATAAAAAAATACGTGTCTAAAATTTTTTCATTACCTAACTGACGGACTAATTAGATTTTTAATTTTCATACTCTATCATCATCCCAATTGTATGTTTTTGTAACAATTGCACAGCAAATATCAACCTTATTCTTTATAGAATAAGATAGATCGAAAATCCTAACTTGATATTAGTTGATACTTATATATATCATAGCTGTCTGCCGCGGAGAACTTAACGGGTTGCCGGGGCTCTAGCTCAAAGTGCAGGACTAAGAACGGGGTGGTTTTTAGTTAGTAAGAGTCTGACACTCCCTCACGCCTCACCCAGGCGGGAGAAGTCATGCGATGATTATCCCCACTTAAAAAAAACATAGCTGTCTTAACTTGGACGTTATAGGAATATTTATTATCTTATATCCTATTTTCTTTTATTATATAAAGCTGAAGAATTTGTTTGTTTCAATAATCCTTTTTGTATAGGATAGTTAATTTATCGAGGAAGGCTACAAAAAATCACGCTTCGACGAATAGAACCAAATCCACCGAATCCAAACAGAGCTGGTTGGCTGGAGGTGAAAGCGTGTAGGATTCGCAGTAGTATTTATAAGTTTAATTATTATATAAATATTTTTTACAGACGGTGTCATTGATAACTATTCCGAAGTACATATCTGAAGAACTACACACTTTGCACAAGTTCATGATATTGTGCACAATAATTGCGCCACTGCCTTTCTTTCTTTCTCATTCAGCGACTTTAATCATGGAAAGAAGATCAGGATTGAGGGTAAGATACTGCTATACTGGAGCTATTTAAATTAAAAGGATGGTATTATAATAATATTTTAGTTTATATAGGTAGGTATACCCAAAACTTAAATCATAAAAATATGGCTTTCTGAATGTTTATTGATGTATGTTCCTATAATATTTATGTTTACATATAACGCGAGTGGTACAAGAATACTTATAATAACACCAACATGATACTAAAATAAATTGGATGGAATAAAACATGATTTTGTCAACAATGCTATTTTTAGCTGAATTCATAAAGTGCGCGTGCGCATGGTATTTAAGTCGCCGTGGTAGTTCTTTACTTCGTTCACTAGATGGCGTGGATGTTTGATTATTCTAATAATGTTAGGCTTGTTACATGCGCTAAGAATATGTTAAATCTAAATCTAAAGAACTTCTGTTAAAAGAGTTTGAAGAATTATTTAAAAATAACTTGGAATTAAGTTTGTATAATTTTCTTAGCTGTATCGTAGTTCCAAACGTCACCGCTAGATGTCACTGTGCAGTGACGTCATTTTCTGAATCGCGGTGTTAAGATTCTCCGCGAGCGAATGACCCTCGGCGCGTTAGTCAGTGCGGACAAGACCTTACTTCATAGGATCATTTCTATAGTAAGCTCTTCTCGAGACTTTCACACTATGTGAGTCCTCACCAGTCACGATGAGGAGACGTGGCGCGGTGCCCTGAGCGTGAGGCGGGCGGTGGTAGATCTACCATCAGCCCTCGATGATCGTTCGCTCCCCTTCACGGGGGAGAGTGGGGTACTGTCGCTGTCTGAGTGGCTGTTTTTAAACCCTTATAAACTATTATAAATAAAGCATTTAAATATCCTAAGTTCTGACAAATTTACATTGATGCTTTTCTAATAGGACTATATTATTATAATATTATTGCTTAAAAGCTGATTATAGCTTGTATCTACACCGATAATTATGTTTCTAAACTTTGAGCTTTATTGCAAACTTATTAAAGTTGATAATATCTTAAAGAATGTTGCTTTACTAATTGAGTAAACAGAAACAATTTAAAGATAAATTTTAGGATTTCTGGCATACGTGCTACCTCTTTCGCTTCTAATGTTTTGCTGATGTTACTATTGAATTTATCGATTTTGAATTAATCGCCTATTTAACCAGTGTTCTATGTCCGTCTTAAATAAGGTAGGTACTTGCCAATTAGTCAAATTTATTACTTTTTTCGAACTATCAAAAACGACAGTTCTGTGAATTTTGTATGAGATTGTGTATTGTGACGTCACATTTATTTAGCGTCAAACAGCATTCTTATTTCTTAAAATTTAGCTAGAAAAATATTCAAATAAGTTAGAAATAAAACCAATTAACCCTTTAACCGCCGACAACGTAATATTACGGTTTTCGAAAGCTGTGTCCGAATCGCCACATACGTACAATCACGTTATTTTATTAAAAATCTTTTTATATTGCACAAACTCCATATAAAATGTGTCAATTTCAAGATGTAGGGTATAATCTTTGTTGTTATGGATATTTCTCAATGTTTTGAGTGATAAATACTGTGAAATTTGAGGTTTAATTAAATTGTGGTCACCGTCTCCATTATCTGTATCGCCAATCACGTAATTTTACGGGTACTAGGGATGGGGCGAATTCGAACAATACTTAATAGGTTGTCTAAGAACAAACAAGGCACTATAGATATTACTGTCACTATTTGCAATGAAAGTGTATACTTTCATTAGAAAATAACCATAGTGTTACTTTGATGCAAGTATTTGTACTAATTAAAATGTATTTAAGTTTAAAATTATTTAATATTTATAACAATAATATAAAAATTTCATAACGCAGAACCGCACTAGTGCGGACAGTCGTCGGTCGCCATCATCGTAATATTACGTGCGGCCAAGGAGATTATAGCGCTGTATTGTGAGTTGCCTTAGCGCCGTCACCGTAAAATCACGTTAAACATTTATCACTCAATGCAACTAGTGTTGTAAACCCTTTTTTGGGTTTTTGTTATTTCTCAAATAAATCAACACAGTCCATCCCTGAATCCCCAACGATCCTCAAACTCCTAATCCCCAAAAAGCCGGTGATGCACTTGTAACGCCTCTGGTGTTCCAGGTGTCCATGGGCGACGCCGATTGCTTACCATCAGGTGATCCGTCTGCTCGTTTACCGGCTTATGCCATAAAAAAACGGTGAAGGGAAAACATCGTGAGGAAATCTGAAATCGCCAACCCGCATTGAGCAAGCGTGGTGATTAATGTTCAAACCTTCTCCGCCTGAGATAAGGTAGTGGTTTTAGCAGTGGCCACTTTTTAAGCTGTTCAAGCTGATGATGATTTTTGTATTGAACAAAAAGACCTCACAATACTTTGACGCCACGTGGTGAGCAAAAACAGGGGACTCTTGTGTGAAGCAAAGTTTTCAGATCACACATTTTGGTCATTTATCATACTGTGGATATAATGACAGATATAATAATATACATAACATAACATCACGCCTTTTATCCCCGAATGGGTAGGCAGAGGTGCACATAACGGCACTTAATGCCACTGTACAATGTAACAACCACTGTTCACTATTTATGTTATAAGTCCCATGTAATAGTGGGTGAGGCTATTGCCATATACCGAGCTCTATTCCAGACTTCGTGCTACTACTGAGATTTTGAAAAAGCCCAATAATACTTTGCCCAACCCGGGAACCGAACCCGAATCGAACCCCTTGCCCGGCAGTCACAATTGCGACCACTCGGCCAACGAAGCAGTCCAATAACAGATATATAATATAGTAATTACAATAAGTAGGTACATACATAATCATCTTATATACTAAGTACTGAGCAAAAAATCGTCTACCTTTATCACATTATCTTAAAAACTAAATTAAATATGTCAATTGTCTTTATAGTTAGAGAGATGACGACCAAAATTTTTGTCTCATAGCAATACGGCCAAAACCGCCTCAAATCGATAGATACGATTATCCTGAACTCGAAAATACCAATATCAGACATTTTCCGCGTAGCGTTTGATCTGACCACAAAAACACCAGACAAAAAAAATGTCTCATAGCAATACGTCTGAAAACCTTTTTTATTAGTAAATTTTGGTTATTTGATGCGAACAAAACAATTTTCAGACGGAAATGTGAACGCATTAAATATTGAGACCGTTTTGAAAATGTTAACAAATTTTACCGATCGGTATCATGGCAATATGTCTGAAAATTGTTGGACATGATAAAATAAGTTGTCCACATGTGCAAAAAATGTATATCAGACAAAATAAGTGTAGCCCCTTCTCTATCAGACAACTTTTCGATACTCAGATATTTTTGACACAGCAGAAATGGCCTCCCACGCAGTTGCTACACTTTCGACCGTTACTACACACCTAGTCGGGTTCAGAATCATACAATCTAACGATTTTATAGTGTTTTTGCCGTATTGCTATGAGACATGGTTTTGGTCGTCATCTCTCGTACTATGACCAATGGCTGCTTTTCACATGGAGAAGGTTTGAGTATTAATCACCACGCTTGTTCACTGCGGGATGGCGGCTTCAAATTTATAATTAGAAATTATAAGTCCAGGTTTCCTCACGATGTTCTTCCTAAACCTTCTCCGTGTGAGAAGAGGTTTTGCTTAGCAGTGGGCATTTATAGGTTGTTGATGATGCTGAATGCATGTGGGCTTCTGAGTGTGATACAGGTCAAAATGTAGGTGTAATAATAAAAAAATAAAGTGTTGCTTCTAAAGTAATTTCATTAGTACTTCATTTGGACTTTTGTTTTTTCTTTTCCAATGATATCTTATGATTTGTTTCGTTGCGGGATCCAAGACAAGTTATTCATGTTCCTGGGACGCGCCGGACTTCAGTGTTCCGGTGTTGTCATAGTTATATCTATTGTAGATTTTGGCTTACAGGAGTTGTAGCGGTTTTGGAAGGTTGTAGCGGGCTTAAAAGCGCTTAATTTAGTCGAATTCTAATTATAAATATTGTTGGCAGGCAACGGCGGACCCTATATTACCGAACAGCAACTCCCTGATAATAGCATTTACTATAGTGCTGCACTATGTGAACACTATGTCACTGTCTTTCATTACTACTGCGATTTCCCAGGATTGTAAGTATTTTTAGAACTTACAATAACATTAATATTGCTGTATCAACTGATACTGAAAGGCTACTAAATGTCGTAATTTGCACCTATGCCTACCCCTTCGGGGATATGATTCGAGGGGTAACGGACTATTTGGTTTAAGCGACATTTTGGGCGATATTGAGTTATATATATATATATATTCGGAATCAGCGATTTTTTCTCCGTCGAATATATATAATAACTCAAAATCTCCCAAAATGTCGCTTAAACCAAATAGTCCGTTACCCCTCAATATGATATATTCGATTATGATCTTTCATTTTTATCACACTTATATTATAAATCTGAAACTTTATTAGTTTGTCCGTCAATCACAGAAACTACTGAACGAATTTTGATGTAAGTAACTTGGCATACAAGCGGGGCTGACTTGTTGATAGGATATTTTTTATCCCGATTAAATGCTCCTACGGGAGAAAATAGTCGCGGAGAACCTAACGGGTTACCGGGGCTCCGGCTCAACGTGCAGGATAGGGACCGGGGTGGTTTTTAGTCAGTAAGAGTCTGACACTCCCTCCCGCCTCACCCAGGCGGAGCAGTAATTTGATGATTCTCCCCCCTTAAAAAAAATCGGAGCATATAGGAATACGCGGGCAAAGCCGCTGATAAAAGCTAGTTGTTTATAATTTGTATTATGATCTTGCCGGCAAAATTGGCTTGTATTGCGTGTGCCGTGGGATATACTTTTTTTTCGAATGTAATGCCAACTGTTGCTTCTTAAACATACATTGTTGTACCCGACAGGGTTCACATTGTGTCCTAATTGTGTTTAGGTATGTCTACCAGTTTAGTTAAAACATGTATTATGCATGTTTCCTCAAAACAATCATATTTTTCTCTTTAATTTGCAATTTTGAGCCTCATGCTCATCACAATTTGTATGCCTCCAGGCATAGATTTTTTTCTTATGGGGGAGAATCATCGAATGACTGCTCCCGCCTAGGTGAGGCGAGTCCCTCTCGCCTCAGACTCTTATTGACTAAAAACCACCCCGTTCCTACTCCTGCACTTCAGAGCCTTGGCAACCCGTTAGGTTTTCTGCGGCTCGAATCGGCATCAACCCTATTGGCCCCATCCGTGGTGGTCTGATGGCTCTTTGAGGCGCGCGCGAAACGCGACGCGCCGTACGCTCGGGTACCGTGCATAGCATAGCGCTCTATTTAATTACCATTTGTAAGCCCATAGGCAGGTGCCTATCAAATCATTCAAATTCATATTGATTTGACATGTGGAAGGCAATATAGATTTGAGTATTTAACGGACATAATCAATTTACCTCCTTAACCTTTCAGTCCACCACGCGGATTGCGTTGGCTTCATGCTCTACATGTCTACATTCATCTTGGACTGCTTATGGTATTCATACAAACGGACGTACAAGTTTTTCGCGTATTTAGCATGCATTATACTACCTCATGCACCAGTCTATCTCTTCTGGGATGAAGTGCTTTATTTGGAATCTATTGGTAAGTACCTATTGTTTTCTTCATTTAGAAGTTTCACAGGTTCAGCTATCGTATACGTAGTAAATTGATATATGGAAATGTTTGTTACTCAACCACGTGAAAACGGCTCAAGGTATCAAGATAAAATTTGGGATAGGGATAGGTTGTGGTCTTTGGAATAACACATGAGCTATTTTTTATCTCATGGGAACACGAATCCTCTGGCAAACGCTAGTTATTTCATAATAATTTTTAGGTGTGGGCTCCAGATTCCGCAATGTATACTCCCGTCACTCGGACAACTTGCAGCCAGTGGCGACTGTGTGGGTGTTCTTCTACATACACCTCGCTTTCATCACCAGCCTCGCCTGGTATTTGGATCTGGTGAGACCAGGCCCTTTTGGAGTCTCTAAGCGCTGGAACTTTTTGTTCAAGGTGAATGTTATCTTATTTCTTTTTTGGTTAAGTTGGTTTTCCTGTTGTTTGCTCCCTTGGATTTCCTTGGGCACCGAGGAAGGTTAACTTTTAATTATTGTAGAGAGTGCCCATATTTTGGGTTTACCACGATGTTTATTGATGGTATTTTTTAACTGGTGGGTGGGTCTAACGAGCAGACAGATCAACTGATGGTAAGCAATCAATGCCGCCCATGGACACTCAAAATGTCAGAGAGGTTGAAAGTGTATTGCCGGCCTTTGGAGTGGGATTGGGCCTCCGGTAATCTGTACTCATATGCAAAACACAAGCCCATCAAAAGTGTCTACGCAGGTTTTATATGAGACTGTTGTTGAACTGGTCCATTCGTGCGGAAGCATATCTCTCCAAATTTTTGTTAAGGGGCGCTTCTCCAACTTAGGGTGAGGCGTGGCGTGAGGGAGTGTCAGACTCTTAATGACTAAAAACCACCCTGTCCCTATTACTGTACTTCGACCTGGAGCCCCGGTAACCTGTCGATGCCTCCGTGGCTCTGTCTCCCATTTGAATTTATTATTTATTTTCTCATTTTCAACAGAGATCATACTGGTTTAGTCATAAAATAAAGCGACGAATAGTAACTCTCCCTGAGACGTATCTAGCTAAACGGGATGAGAAATACTTCGAGAAACTTCCTCAACATGGTGCAATTTCTATTCAGATATACAACGTGTCCAAGGTAATATGGAATAGAATTCTACTGACTGGGTGGCACGGTCCGTTTTTGATTGATAAATCTCTGACAAATGGATTTGGACTTGATTGGTAAACCAGAGCTCATTAAAACCAACAATCTCAATATGAATTAAAGAATATTTTTTATCTATTAGATACTTGCTTGACTGGAAGATCTAACTCGCTTGCTAAGAGTGGATAATATGGCAGACCATCTTATGTAGAGGAGACCCATTGTCCAGCAGTGGAACGGGTTGTTAATAATTATTACTTTTATGTTAACCAGATTTAAGTCTAATTTTGTTTTTATAATAACTATCGTAAGACATACTGAATGAACTAAAAATTACGAGTTACGTAAATATACTGATAAAATCTTTTGGCGATTCGTCGCGGCGATGTAAGCTGCGCGACATCGCCGTGACCGCGCACGCTGCTCATAAGGAAAAGTGTGACTCGAAAATAGTAGAGCTTTTCTCAGTATATTTACTTGAGTTACTCGTATTTTTCAGTCAAGTCTGATTTTTTTATTTAATTTGTAATCTATATTTTCAGTACTGGCCGACTTAAACAGTTTTGGGTGAGTTTTTATGTAGTCAAAATTACTAATTAGAGTTTAGGGAACAGAGAGTAGAGGTATACTTCCCTAAGTTCGGAAAAGGAGGATCCTCCGACCAGGCGAGGTGATCGTGCCTGGCGGCCTTTCTGCCCGACAGTTCTTCGTTGGGATTTTCTATCCGTGTTAATTTGCATGTAAACTTACATGTGCGATGTAGGATTTTTGTGATTGATAAACAAATGAGTATAGGTAATAGGACCCGCGTATGTTCTTAAAAATAAAATCACTTCAGGCTGATAATTATTTTTTTCGAAAATTTATATTATGACAAGGATATATAATCACTATTATTATGTATAAATATGAAATTTTATTTCTTTGGATGTTTGTCCGTCAATCACGCTGAAACTACCGAACGAATTTTGATGAAATTTGGTATAGGTACTAGCAGGGAATGGGCTGACTTAGGTAAAAGAATTTTTATCCCGATTAAATGCTCCCAAGGAATTAAACAGCAATCATATTCTACGCTGACGTAGTCGCGGGCAACAGCATGTTAGTCATATTACAAGTTACGTGTAATAAATGATAAGTCTATTGCTATACACCGAGAAAAATTTTGACTGCATGGTTTGCGCAGTGACTGGACAACTGGCCGCTGTGCAACGTATCGCGGGCTCGATTCTCACACGAAACAATTCTTTGTGTGAATGTGAAATTATAATGTTTGTAAATACATCCACGATTCTGGAGAGAATGCTTACGCGGGCCAAATTCAAAGTCAAGGTCAAAATCCAATTAGCCTCTCTCGCGCCTCTCGTACACACGGGTAAATATTTTATTAGAAATGCGAATTAACTAATGTGTTCAATCAAATAAATAACGGGTTGTAAACCTGAAAATATACGTCACAGAAAAAATATCCAATCGGTGCGCGTTTCTCGTACACCCGTTTGTACAATTGTGCGATGAGCACTCAACTCTCTCGTACACCCGTGTGTACGAGAAACACGCGAGAGGTGAGACTAGAAAGGCACTTGCGAATGTCAACAAAAATTAAAAGTGAAGCTTAGGAAGCGTTTTCTAAAAAATATAATAAAGTTAAATACCATCATGACAAAAATGTGCTCTAAAAGCAATTCAAGAATAAGAAAAGTAGTTAATACCTTGTTTTCAGGTATTCAAGGGTAAAGGATCGGAGCTGTCTACTGTCACAGCGGACGTAACGGCTTTAGATTCCGTCAGTTTTGATTGCTATCAAGGCGAGATCACATTAGTTTTAGGAGACAATGGTGCCGGAAAAACCACCCTTATGCACATCGTTGCAGGTTTGAATTTTGTATGATTTGAATATTTTTTTCATCTCATCTTTCATAACATAATATAACATCACGTCATGTTTTTAGCCCCGAAGCGGTAGGCAGAGGTGCACATTACAATATTACCCCCACTTTTCACTATTTATGTAATGAGTCCCATGTAATAAGTGGTGAGCCTATTGCCATATCTTGGGCAAAATTCCATATTGCGTGCTACTACTGACATTTTTTAAACTCTGTAGGTAATACTTTGCCCGACCCGGAAATCGAACCCGAGACCCATTGCCATTGATTAATTATTAAGATTTTGTTGGAATTTGCATTGATATTGATATTGGCTTTTATATAAAGGTCCTCCTTCCATAGTCTAGTTTAGTCAAATTTCCGTGATGCTTGGCGACTGGGCTTCTCCCAGTTGTATAGTCTCTTTTTGTGCCTCCAGGCTTAATTCATTCTGTCTCCTGCATAAATTCACTGAGAAAAGTGGAAACTCGTTTCCGTCTTCTCCTCTTACAGTATAGTTATCATCTGATTTACTCGTTGCGGGAACCAAAACAGTTACACATGTCTCTGAGACGCGCCGGACTTCAGTGTTCCGGTGTTTTCATGGTTGTATTTACTGTAGATCCTGGCTTACAGGAGTTGCAGCGGTTTTGGGAGGTTGTGGTGGGCTTGTCCCATAAAAAAAAGTGTAGCAGTAGACTGTTAAAGGCTTTTGATAAGATGGAATTCGACTATCTAGCATGATACCATGATTCTGATCTGGCATGATTCCAGGCATGATAGGACCGACTTGCGGAGCAGTATTTGTGAACGGTATCAATGTGGCTCACAGAATAATGGAACATCACGAGGACTTAGCACTATGCATGCAAGACAACATCTACTTCAATTTCCTCACCGTCAGGGAAAATATTTCCTTTTACAAAAAGGTTTGTCATTTACTCGTGTTATTTCGGAGTAGTTCGATTATTTTCGAGCGTGTCTGGGTCCCATAATCATGGGTTGATGACGCCACGCATCCATCATCAAATTGATATAGCGTCATGAGTCCTATCTGTGAGGGTATTATACATCAGAGAACACCATACCATACAATATAATATTAATTTAACTAGGTACTTATAATATTATTCTAACATAACATAACATCACGCCTTTTATCCCCGAATGGATAGGCAAAGGTGCACATTACGGCACTTATGCCATTGTACAATGTAATACCCACTATTCACTATTTATGTTATGAGTCCCAAGTTATAGGGGGTGAGCCTATTGCCATACACCGGGCACATTTCCAGACTCCGTGCTACTACTGAGATTTTGAAAAAATCCAGTAATACTTTGCCCGACCCGGGAATCGAACCCGACGCCTTGTATTTAAGACCACTCGGCCAATGAGGCAGTCATTATATTATCCTACCATGATATTATAAATGGGTAAGTTTGTCTGTTTATTGTTACTCGCTCATGTTACTCTCTCTTTATTGCACGAAGCCGCTGGTAGAAGCTAGTTGTAAATAAAATAGTTTTAAACTGTCAAACACCAAGCGGTCACCGGTGACCGCAACCTATTGTTCTATAATTGTGTCTACAAAACCGGTACTCGACGAGTTAATGGTTATTTTAGTTAACTCGTCGAGTACCGTCATTGTAGACACAATTATAGAACAATAGGTTGCGGTCACCGGTGACCGCTTAATGTTTGACAGTTTAATCACACTAAAATGGTAAAAAAGGATCAAATTTAGCACTGAAATGAGATGGTATTCGTTTCTTCCCGTTGATATTGCAAGAGCAAGAGTATAGATAATTCGGAGTCGCGGAAAACCTAACGGGTAACTGGGGCTCCGGCTCGACGTGCAGGAGAAGGAACAGGGTGGTTTTTAGTCAGTAGTCAGGTCAAGTCAAGTCAAGAGTCTGATACTCCCTCCCGCCTCACCCAGGCGGGAGCTTTTCCCCCTTAAAAAAACTGAATAGATAATATAAATTACAAATAATTAAATCTAATCATATGTTCTCTATGGCAGTTACAAAGGAATAAGCAGGATGATGATTCGGGCTTCACATTGCACCAAATCATGAAGAAGCTGAAGTTGTATGATGTAGCCGACAACTATTGCTCACAACTTAGCTCAGGAACCTTACGATGTGTGCAGGTATGTTCATCTTATACTTATACTAATTATATGTCGCGGAAAACCTAACGGGTAACCGGGGCTCCGGCTCGACGTGCAGGAGAAGGAACGGGGTGGTTTTTAGTTAGTAAGAGTCTGACACTCCCTTCTGCCTCACCCAGGCGGGAGCAGTCATTCGATGATTTTCCCCCCTTAAAAAAAAAACTAATTATATAAACCTGAGGCCTTTACGAGTTTTGTTTCACGTTTAGAAGTATTCGAAACGAGCACGCCTTCGACACTCTGATTGGCCAATAGACCAACAAATCAGAGCGCCGAACGCGTACTCGTTACGATTGCTTTAAACGTATGAATGAATGAATGAATGAAAGAATGAATGAATGAATGAATTAATGGATTGATGAATTAATGAATGAATTAATGAATTAATGGATTAATGAATTAATGAATGAATTAATGAATGAATGTAATTTATTTCCAAGTATATGGTACACTGAGGTTTTACATTAAATACTGTTTCACATACACTACCATTGCTGGTGTAGAAATATTAAGTTAACCATGCTTTATAAAATAAAATAAAAAAAACTAGTAATTACAATAATGCCAAGTAAATTGAATCACACATTATAAGAATTTGCTTGGTACATGACAGTAAATAGAAGTAACAATGTTGTTTCCATCAAAATGTTAAAATATTTCTTTTAATGTTTAAATGCTAAATACAATGCCAATATGTCAAAACGTATATTGTCAAAATACTAAACTAAAATTCTAAATACAATGTCAGTCAATGTAAAAATATTAAATTCAATGTCAAAATACTAAAAACAATGTCATAACATTAGATATTATAATGTCGAAATATTCAATAATGTCAAAACTTGTGATTTAAAAACGTAAAACAAACTCGTACTAAGGCCTCTGAAGAGATTGTTTGTTTGAACGCGCTAATCTCAGTAACTACTTGTCCGATTTGAAAAAATCATCTTGTATTGGATAGTCCATTTATCGAAGAAGCTTGTAGGTATATAGGAGCCGCGCAGAAGTAGTTAGTAGATTATATTTATCGTACTTACTTCAATTGAAAACGCTTGACAAATATCAAGTCAGACCGGGTTTCATAATCAGAGCAGTAAGGCATTTTATGTAAAATTTTAATATGTAACTGTTTTTTGTTCTTGAATAAATAAATGAATAAACTCTGAAGTTGAACATTTCTTAAAAAGTAAATATAGTTTGAGGAACCCTTGTATTTTAGTATCTCTATTTAGGGCTACCATCACTAAGCCCGATGTAGTCCATCTGTCCACCATGACCTGGTATGAAGTCGGAAAAAAGTGATGCTGTATTGTTTTAGGTGGCGTGTGTGTTGGCTGTATCCCCTGATGTCTTAGTATTGGATGAACCAACCACTGGAATGGACATAGACGTCAAGCATCGACTCTGGGATATGCTTTTTGTAAGAAAATTCACTTACTCGTCATTAGCATCAACCACCATTCGTCCACGAAAAATCTATACTTTTTTTTAATTTGTGGAATTCCTCATAGTTACCCTTTGTCTAGACTATATGCCTCAGAGAGTAAGTTACATCGGACTTTTATCAACTGAAACTACACAAACTATCCCTGAAATTAATGAGAGTGTCACTGGGTACTCGAATGAGCGAACTCGACACTCAAATTATGTTACTACCTCCTGTACCTTTTCCGAGTAAATTCTATGGTGATTCCTACAACGCCGCCTGTTTCCGAGTTGGATCCATTCTTTGTTTTATATTTCACGGTGCGCCCGTGATGACCACTATCTCGCCACCTTCTACGAATAATCTTAACTAAAATAGTTTGCGAGCATGTTTGTATGTAAGTTACTCTTGTATGCAAACATTACTGAAGGGGTCTGTGGCGACACATGTCACAAGTCAACGGATGACGTCATAAAATCCTACATCGCACATGCGAAGTTTACATTCGATTTAACACGGATAGAAAATCCCAACGAGCAACTGTCGGGCAGAAAGTCCGCCAGGCACGATCACCTCGCCTGGTCGGAGGATCCTCCTTTTCCGATCTTAGGGAACCATACTCTCTGTTCTGGTCTAACTGAAATATGGCACGGAGATAGATTAGAATCTGCAATAATATAGTCGTTCGTTCTATCCGCAAAATGCTAACGGAGCTGCTGGCAGGAGGTAGTAAAGTAAGTACCTAATAGAAACAAACTTCAATTAATTGATTTATCCCCCTCTCCGATTCCCAAAATCACAAATTCCTAAAAATCCCAGCAAATGTTGCCAGTGTCCATGGATGGCACCGACTGCGTATTATCATGTTATTGTTATCTGCTCGTGAACCGCCCTATTTCATAAAAAAAATGTAACTTTGTGTACTGTACAGGTACTCCGTTCTAAAAAGACAATAATAATGACGACATCTTGCTTGGAAGAGGCGTATGCGTTAGGAGACAGGATCGTTATACTACAGAACGGAGCCCTCAAGTGCCACGGGTCTCCTACCTTCCTGAAAGACGCAATTGGTGAGAGAAAGTTATCATCTTATACTATTATATACAGATGCCTCGTTGGCCAAGCGACCGCAACTGCAACTGCCGGGCAAGGAGTCTCGGGTTCGATTCCCGGGTCGGGCAAAGTATTACTGGGTGTTTTAAAAAAAATTCTCAGTAGTAGCACGGGGTCTGGAAATGTGCCCGGTGTATGGCAATAGGTTCATCCCCTATTGAAAAGTGGATGTTAGTGTTACATCGTACAGTGGCATTAAGTGTCGTAATACGCACTTTTGCCTACCCCTTCGTGGATAAAAGGCGTGATGTTATATACACACACATATTTATATATATATTTCACCAACACAAAAAATCAGTACAGAAATAAAATTGTTCAACAGGAATGAGTTTCAGCTTATCAATAACGATAAAAGACGGTACTCAAATGATGAAACTCAAGGAAACAGTGGAAGGTATCATACCGAACCTGAGGTGCAGGATCGAGGATATGAGAAATGTCGTATTCTCACTGCCCACCAAGGAAACCCAGAACTTTCCAAAAGTGTTCAGAACTTTAGAGGAAAAGAAAGAAGACTTGGGAATACAGCTTGTAGATGTGGGAATGTTCATGGAGGAGGTGTTTATGGAGTGAGTGTCTTTAACTATAAGTGATAAATGTTCAATTGAAGGTTGGTACTACAAGCGTTGGAGAGAGCAATTTCAAGTGTGGGAGAGCCATGCTTTGGCACGAATAGGCCAGTTCCACCGGAGTCCACGGCCTCACAGACAACCGACATGAAACAACGCTTGCGTTTTGTTTCGTCGTGTGAGTGAGGTTACCGGAGGCTCAATTACCCCCAAACTCAGAATCCTCAACTATCATCAAAAGGCCGGTAATGCATATAACGCCTCTGGCGTTTCGGTTGTCAATCGGTAGCGCCGATTGCTTATCGTTAGGTGATCCGTTATATCGTTCACCGGCTTACTCCACAAAAAGCTCGTAACTCAATTGGTGTTATTAGTGGGTGGCGCTGATCATTTTTTCATTAGGTGATCCATCTGCTAATTTGCCCACTTCTTCCATAAAAAAGGCTTCATAAGATTTGTGTCTTCAAAATTATTATTTTTTTATTATAGCTTATTCGAGAACAGTTGCTTTAAAATTTTTTGTCTCGATATTATAATTTAATACTTATTTTATGTGTAATTTACAGGTTTATTGAAAAACCGGATGTAAGATATTCAGGAGTAGCCGATAAATCTTATATGAGTAAGTACATACATATAGGTACGTATTACTAAGAAAATTAAACAGTTCCATTATGAAAGCACACAGTAGCGTAGTCACGTTACTGTTTGCTTTAGTTACTCGACTAATTTGAAGCCACAAAAAAGATAACCGACACCTAACTAATTGTCATGTATCCTGCTCACTATTATAGGCCCCAGTGTGGCTTGAGATTAATTGAGGAGCCTCGTAGAACAATTACGTGAATGAACTTTACAACTTAATCGATTCTGTTTCATTTGTTTGTCCACTTGTTTTTTTAATCGATTTATTTTAATTTATTATTTATTTATCAGTCTTTAGAGCCGCTAAACTGGAAGGCATACATCTGCTCTGGTCACGTATCAAGTTGTTACACCAACGTACATATGATTATTTGGTGATGAAGAAAATACAGTTCCTGTCAATTGTATGACTTTGTTTATAATTTTTTTTTACCGCAGAAGTGTTAGTTTTTACCCGACGTCGCAAATAGAAGGAGGTTTTGACCTATGTGTATGTTTGTGCGCAATTATCTCACGATTGGCTGAACGAATTTTGAAGCGGTTTTCAGAAAAGTGTTTGTTACACTTGGGAGAAGGTTTTAGTATATTTATTAAAGACTAGCTACTTCCGCGCGGTTTCACACGCTCTGCTCAGCTCCTAATGATCGTAGCGTGAGGTTTTATAGCCTATAGCCATCCTCGATAATTGCGCTATCTGACACAATAATAATTATTCGAATCAGACTTGCAGTTACGGAGATTAGCGCCTTAAAACAAAAAAACAAAACTCTTCCGCTTTATATAATAGTATAAGATTTCAAAAAAGGAGGAGTTTGAAGTTGGTGTTTTTTGAAAGTAGTTTATATAAGAATTAGTCATCAGTTGTTATCATTATACATAGCCGTATGATGAATGACAGAGTAGAATAAATACCGTTACTCTTTGAGGGGTATCGTAAGAGCCGACTGAGAGAATATATATTTAACAGAGACCGAGCAGTAGCTTTCCTGATAAATCTGAACTTTTTTACCGCTGTCTCCAACCTTCTAGCCAAGGTGAGTGAAGTGGAGTGAGTAAAGATTATCCCAAATCCCTCCTATAAAGAGGGAGCCTTTAGTCTCATAGATTTACTGATGAAAAGAGTCAGTGTTTTGAATTTTCTTCCTGACCTGATTAAACTTATTTTCCATCGACAGCGTGTATTGGTCCCAACTCTATGTCTAATAATAATGACGGTGACATCCAACTATTCCCTGAGGTCTACTAAATTGTTCACACACCATGTCTCAGGGGAGGACGAAAAATTAGGCCTCAATAAATTGGTATATAACGTTGGACCTTTCAGAAGACAGGGTCTGTATAATGGAGCTGAGAAATACCCAGGATTAAAACTTGTGTACGCACTGGATATTGATCAAGGTATGAATTAGTTTAAATATTGTTGATTATTTGTGGTATGTGTAATTTTCGAGCATGCTCGACGATTTTCAAGTTACAATCGGGGCTCTTAGAGCTCGTGACAGATGTGAAACAACGCTTTCTATTACTGGTGGTCCAATAACCTAACAATCTATCCTATCAATCACAATAACTGAATCCCCAACAATCCTCAAACTCCTAATCCCCCAAAGGCCGGTAACGCACTTGTAACGCTTCTGGTGTACCGGATATCCATGGGCGACGCCAATTAATTGCTTATCAGGTGACCCGTCATCTCGTTAACCGGTTTATCTCATAAAAATAATAATAATTATTTTTCACTTGAGTAGAGACTGACGTTTCATCATAATTTTCTTCACAGAATTCCAAAACCCGAAATCAGGGTTTTCTGCTAAAGACGTAGCTGGCTTTAAAGTAACCGACAGGTTCAGTAAAATTTTTCATCCAAGGGATTTGAAATCAACCTCAAAATCGGTGAACATGTTCAGTAATATCTACATGTCTATGTTTTTACCGAACATGACCCATGGTATACGTACATCGTACAAACCAATTTTGAGAAATAATACAAAGAAACCGAAAATAAATGTGCCAAAAAGCATCTTTTTGTGCATGAAGTGGAGTGTATGGGTGTCTATATGTAAGTAAATATTTATATTTAATCTTATGGCTACCATTAAAACATCTTGATACTTAGCATGACGTAGGACCTAAACAACCCCCCTTACATTACAACTGTTATTTGTTATGTTGAAAAAAAAATATTGGCTATGTTCAAAGCGAGTAGTGGCGGACAGATAACGACCGCAGCGCACAATACGGCAGAAATTGGAAACAAATGCGGATGATTTAAACTCGGATTTTATTATTATATTCATTTTACAGTAAAACTAATGAATAAATTGCTCTTAAATAATGTCAACAATACTATTTTAATCTTTGGTTTTATTTATATATGCAAAGAAAATTATAATGTTTACATTGTTATTATTTGACAGCTTCCGCAAATGTTGTAAACGCTACGCGTCGCCACCGTCGCGCACATAGCCAATAGGTTAAATTATTTCACCTATTTTAGATTTGGCGTTTGTCAGTGGTATCTGAATAATCTTAGAAAGTACATATAACTCGGAAAAAGTCACATTGGTACTTGCCATTGGTAGGTCCTCAATACTATGTACTATGTACAATGTTTACTTAAGAACTAAGAAAAATGTCATATCTTTTAATTTTATTGAAGGGTTGTAGCTAGGTACCCAGTATATTGAATGTAACATCCTCGTTTCCAGTTAGGTATGTTATGAGTTAACCTTGATAATTGCGGTTTATGCCAGTACATATTTTTCTATCTTAGTTTTTTCTCAGGTAGGTTTTTATCTGCACTGAGTCTTTAACTTCGGCTGAATGCCAGTATTTGAAAGGAAAACATACATACATAACTTCACGCCTGTCTCCCATGGGGTTAGGCAGATATTATGGAACGATTACTGCGATTCCTACATACCTCTTTCGCTTCATCAACAGTCATCAATCATCAATCTTATCATGCATGCTCGTCGGTTAAGGGAACTTTTAATTTGGCCCTTCTTTAATATATCGCCAATCTGGTCACTATAACTATATCCGTCTAAGGCGCCCTCTACCGACGGCCCCATTCATATCCGCTTTGTATACTTCTTTCGTTATTCTACTTTCATCCATCCTTTATTGGAAGGAAAACTCAATAATATAATATGATATTATTAGGTTATATGATAAAATATTTAGAATGAATTACGCAGCTATAATATTTATAACAAAGTGCATTCTTCGTCCCCCATCCAATAAGATCTTATCCCGAAATAATTTGTCTATGTTAATAAGTTTAAATATAATTTATGGCCACTTACTTAGAATAACATGCATACCTATTTTCTCCCTTTTTATTAAAATTTGCGGTCAAAATAGGCTCAGCCCCTTTATTTTGTCATGGATAATAATAATGTTCCATGAATACCCTTATTTTTATATCTTAAGAATTTACGTCCCCTTGCATTTGACGGTAAAATCTCTATTTTATTACAATTGGGGTTGCTTTCTCATTCCTTGCAAAGTTATAACAAAATTGCATCTAATTTGACATTGTATTATTTTCCGTAAGTATTTGGTTTAATAAAATTTGGGAAATGTTTTTATAGTTTTTTCATTCCATAGGATCTTTAAGTTACTTTAAGTAATCACAGGCTTGTGACAATCTTCCTACTGATTTTCTAAGGGCCGAATAGGGTCGCGGAGAACCTAACGGGTAACCGGGGCTCCGGCTCGACGCGCAGGAGAAGGATTGGGATGGTTTTTATTCAGTAAGAGTCTGACACTCCCTCCCGCCTCACCCAGGCGGGAGCAGTAACTCGATGATTTCCCCCCTTAAAAAAAATGGGCCGAATAGGGGAAGATTCTTTAGTGCCCTTAATCGGCTTAGGCGCAACTCACGCTAGGGCCGCGCGGTTGCGTGAGCAGGAAAAACAATGGTACGGATTGAATGAAGGAAGCCACGTTGGCGCGACTAGCGGCTGCCGTACAACACGCTCTATCGTTTTTCCCGCTCATCGCAGATGCCGTTTAGGGTTGCGCCGTCTCATCTCCCATTTGCTAGATCCAGGTAGTAACGCTCTCTGGACATTTATGTATGTTTGTAAACGCACCCACGACACAGGAGACGACCCTAGTGTGGGGCAACGTTTTTAAAAAGAAAAAAAAAGTTTGTAAATGTGGAGACAAGCAAACCCTATCGTGAGAGGAAAACCTTTTGACAGTGGTGGAAGCCCTCTGGTTTTTAATGATGATGACTCAAATCTACCGACTTACAAGATATTGGAATTAAAACCTTATTTCTTACATTTCAGTGTCCATTCTCCCGCTTACACCAATTATAATTCTGTGTATAGTGGAACTGAATCGTGGCATTAGGGACAACCATATGATGGCGGGTTGCAACCCCACATTGCATTGGGCGTGCAAGCTATCGGCGCATATGGGCATATACTCAGTTACTATTCTTCTACCAGTCATTGTTATAGGAGTCATGCTTGATTTTGATAAGACTTTCTATCAATTCAAGTTTTTAGGTAAGTAACATAATGTCATACCCCTATTTGTCAACATCCCTATTCTCCCCGTGGGTATCCTAACAGTAGATGAAGGCTACTGTAGTCTATATGTGACTATATACACTTGGGAGCTAAAAAAATGGAGCCAATAGTGTTTTTTTCATTTCTTGATAAATATTTCCTATTACAAGTATTTTATTAATTGATAACACATGTTTTATAAAAGTCAATTTAGTTACTTTTAAAATGAGAGTATTTTGTTGTAAATTTAAATGTGGGAGAGCCATGCTTCGGCACGAATGGGCCGGTTCCGAGTGATACCACGGCCTCACAGAAAACCGACGTGAAATAACGCTTGCGTTGTGTTTCGTCGTGTGAGTGAGGTTACCGGAGGCCCAATTACCCTCCCCTTCCCCAATCTCCCCAATTCCTTAATCCCCAACGATCCTCAAACTCCTAATCCCCAAAAGGCCGGTAACGCACTTGTAACGCCTCTGGTGTTCTAGGTTTTCATGGGCGACGCCAATTGCTTACTATCAGGTGATCCGTCTGCTCGTTTACCGGCTTATGCTATAAAAAAATAATTTTAAAACTAGTGTATTCTATTACCTATGTGAAAAACAAAAGCCGCTAGTGGTTCCGTTTATTTGCTACCAAATGTATTTAACAGACATCGGGTCGATAGTGCTCTCAGATAACCCTAATCCTTACAAACCAACCAACCAAAGGATCGTCGAAGCGTATATGGCAAACCCTCATACTTATGTAGACGAGACTCCTACGCCCGAATACTGAGAGGCTACGCAATTTGAAGTTGTACTTAAATATCGTGCCATCTCTGTCATAGTACAAAGAATTCGTAGTGACAGAACTATATATAAGCGTACATCTGTCCAGCAGTCATTTGTTACGTTATTAACATGATAACTCGAACCTCTCGCTCAAAGGTGGCGCTTGTGATTACTTCATTGGTCTATGAGATAATGTAGGTACTTTGCTTTGGAGCCCAAATGGTCCCGTAAAGTTCGATTACAGAGGATCTTCTTCCCACGGAATATGGAATCCCTCCCTGTCAACGTTTTCCTGTTGGGCTACAAAATGGGGTTCTTCAAGAAAGCTGTAAATCCTTACTTATATTATAAATCGGAAAGTGAGTTTGTTTGTTTGTTTGTTCCACTTTAACGCCGTAACTACTAAACCGATTGCTTTGAATTTTGCAGACGTAAAGTTAGAAGTCCGGATTAAATAATATGGTACTTTTTATCCCTGAAAAAATTGATATTCCCAAAGGAAAACAAAAGTATTGGTATAGATGGCGCTGTGTGTATATGTCACATAGACTTTTTATCCTTTTGTGACGCGAGCGAAGCCGCGGGTAAAAGCTAGTAGGTTTATAAAGGGTTGGCAAGGCGCATGTAATGCCCCATGTGTTGCAAGCGTACATAGGCTACGGTAACAACTTACCATCAGGTGGGCCGTGTGCTTTTCTTGCCACGGTCGTGGTATATAAAAAAACAACTGAATATAAAATGTTGTATCTTTCAGGATCAATTTTGCTACTAATAATAGCATTTGGACTGGCATTCCTGAGTCAACTGTATTTGTTAAGCTTTTTCCTAAATGAAAATCTTGCTATCAGTCAAATATATGTGCTATCTTTATTTTTCGGTAAGTTAAATTACTGTTTAATTTCAAATTAATATGTATTCCTCTCAGAAAAGTTACAAGACTCAACTTAAATAGGTACTTAATACACGAACAAATATGCAAAATCCTTTGCAAAAGCTGCTAGGGTACTCTGTAATAGTCATTTTGATCTTTCGAAGTGAGATCGATCGCAATCTCGCTATTGGTCGAGATTATTCTCACAACCAATGACATGGGGAAACGCGATTGAGTTTACTTCGATCTTTCGAATTGAAAGTTACAGCATAGTCGAGCTAGTGTCTGTACACCTAAGTTTAAGACCTGTATGATATGTCACCTGGCTTCGTACAATATCCACACAATTGGGTACTTTCCTTAATAAAAAATAAATTATTTGGACTGTTCTATACAATGAAATATTATAAAATAATCACACTTTCATTAATTGATTTTATGACCAACTTAATTTTAGTATTTTTCTAGCAAATTTCTATGAAATAAGTACATATACAAACTGGTAGTTTTTGACAGTTCGAAAAAAGTAGATATTGAATTGGACTAAAGTCTGGCAAACGAAAGTAGAGACTGAAAAAGCCCGGCAAATTTAAAAAATATCAGTATAGCAACCCAAAAATTAGTATGTCATACCTGGAGTAACCTAATTTGATACTTTATATTAATTTGTTTGTTTGTTACGTCTTCACGTCTGGTTACTCCAGGTATGACATACTAATTTTTGGGTTGCTACACTGATATTTTTTAAATTTGCCGGGCTTTTTCAGTCTCTACTTTCGTTTGCCAGACTCTAGTTGACAAGTACCCAATTCATCAGCTCTTCACCTTTAATATAAATTTCAGGTCTCATCCTACCAATAGTATCCGCAGTATTAGAATCCGAATGGCGTACGTCCGTCTTCGTTACCATACCGTTTTTCATCATAATGCTCGTTGGTCGGCTCTGTCCAATATTCCCGTTTACTGTGGGCCTGTGTCGCCTAACATTACAAGCCAGGCTCAATGCCTACTGTAACCTGAATAAACGAAAATGTCCCAACCTAATTGTATTCGATGAGCCGGCTTTTGACGTTGATTTTTGCTGTGGTAAGCATTTTTTTTTTGGTCTAATTAGGTACACAAGGACCTAACCTGACATGACATAACATCATGCCTTTTCCCCCCGAAGGGGTAGGCAGAGGTGCACACTACGGCACTTAGTGTCACTAGTCACTGTACAATGTAACACTCACTTTTCACTATTTATGTTATGCGTCCCATGTAATAGGGGGTGAGCCTATTGACATATACCGGGCACAATTCCAGATTCCGTGTTACTACTGAGATTTTTAAAAAACCAAATAATATTTTTCCCGACCCGGGTATCAAACCCGAGACCCAATGCCTGGCAGTCGCACTTGCGTCCGCTTGACCAACGAGGTAGTCACACAGGTACACAAGGGCTGGTAAATATTACCAATTAATATAATTTTTTTCTAAGTGACATTAGGTACGTCCGTCTTTTTTTCGAAGTCCTTGACTGAGACTTTACAAAAATATGTTATTTATTTATTTTTTATTTATTTAAAGCTTCATGCACAAAATGTACATAAGGTGGACTTAATGCCGCAGGCATTTTCTCCCAGTCTGACCTTTGGGTGATGCACGATGAGTTAATGGTGTGAGCAAGAAGCAAGCAACTATTTAAAGAGCAAATAAAATAGATACACTTACATATTTCAGAGATAAACATAAATAAACATAATTATAATATATATACCTACACACGAGTACAACATAATACACATGCATGCATTCATATACATATATACATACATACATACTTATATTATAAATCCTTACTTATATTACCTCTATAAATTGGAAAGTGAGTTTGTTTGTTTGTTCCGCTTTCACGCCGTAACTACTAAACCGATTGCTTTGAATTTTTGCAGACATAAAGTCCGGATTAAATATTAGGGTACTTTTTATCCCGGAAAAATTTGATATTCCCGAGGGAAAACAATAGTATTGGTATAGATAGCGCTGTGTCTATTGGTATATGTCACATAGGCTACTTTTTATCCTTTTGTGACGCGAGCGAAGCCGCGGGTAAAAGCTAGTGTAAGATAATTAGGAAAAATACCTTTTAGGAAATTATTTTCTTTGTCTTCAGATTGTCATTTTGAAAAGAAATTGTATTATTTGTATAGCATACTCTGCTTTTATCATTATTAAAATTAACGCCATCTATCAATTTCACCGTGAAAGTGATGTTCTAGACTTGTCCAAACATTGTCTGTAGTTCTCGGTGATTTACTGGGATGTAGCTATTACTAAAAAGAGAATTAAATAAATATGTTTAATAAGACTTGGGAAATAATACTGTTACTTATTATTTTATGTTTTAAGGTTATTAAAAACCTAAATGCAAAGATGTTTATCACTTTTTTCTTGGACTATTTGTGCAGCGAAAAAACTGCTGACCAGTTCAACCTATCAAATTTATTCATTGAATTTTCGACTTTTTGTCAATAAAATAAAGTTGAAGAAAGTATAGATAAATTCGACAGAACGGCTAACCTACATTTGGCCACTTGTCAAGATACTTATGTTAATGCAGAGTTTAATTTCAGAGTCCGAATCTATGGAGCCGTATCCATATTTATCGACATACGGATCTGGTTTCTATGACTTGTGGAATCTTATCGTACATTTCCTAATTTTCTTCGTAAGTAATTATTGTATCTCTAACTAAATCATCAATATTTTAAAACTAAATCTATATATACAGATAAATAAAATCGGAGTGTCAAATGTCTGTTTGTAATATTAAAATAACCGCTTTTTACCTTCAAACATACAACACACAATACCAAAATAACATTTTGTCTGTCGGTCTGTTTATTTGTACCTACTGGCTAATCTCTGGAATGACTGCACCGATTTTGCAAAACTTTTATTGACAGGTAGCTGATGTAGTAAGGAGTAACATTGGCTATTTTTATTTTGGAAATTGAAAGAAAAATAACAGTTAAGTTCTAAAATCCATATTCTACGCGGACGAATTCATGGGCAACAGACTCAAACTCAAACTCAAAAGCATTTATTTCAATTAAACCATAATTTGGTACTTTTGAAACGTCAACAAATATGAAATATATAATAGTCTGTCAGTCTGTCCGTCAGTGAAGCTAGGCGCTCGTTCCAAAATGTCGATTCGAGTGGAGAAGAACGAGCAAGAAACTCCATTCGTTACTCTTTTTAAAAAAAGTCTGTTTAACATTGCTCTGATACATATTCCAAAATTGTACACACATGTGAGAATAATGTAAGGACATACCTGATGCAACATACAAATAACAGAACATACTAAAATAGAGAAAAAGAAAAAAAACAAAACCAAGAGAAAATAAATATCTTAAAGTCTAACATGGTCCTCACATATGTATACCGACAATCCATATAAAATAATGCTTCTATACAAGAAAAAAATAAAAAATAAACTCTTTTTTAAATAAAGAGAGAAATGCTCGATGCCACAAGAAAAATAGATTGCCTTCATCGGAATCAAAGTATTAAATTACCTATAATCGTACAGCTAGTTTTAATATAAGTATACTATCACGTATACTCTCAAATTGAGAGTGAATCTGTAAATATTGACATTTCGTTTATTTAATCTGACATTTATCCTTCTTATTATTTTATTCGTATAACTCGGTACACAAATCATGTTAGTCACATTATCATATTTATTTATTTTTATAATTATAATTAACTTATTACTTGCACTATTAATGTAACGTAGGATCTCACAAACTCACCCTCGAGCCCCTTGTTGTTGCGTCAGTGCTGGCGAAGTGTCGACCTGCTCGCTTTGGCTTCTCGCAATAAGTGTCGGGCTACGCGATAGCTTCACGACCACAACCTACCCACACTATTCTAATTGTCGTGATATATATGTGGTTTATAATTTTATTTTTATTATTATTATTTATTTATTTTTCTACGGTGACGGTACACGTAGCACTTGTTTATGTATCTATACTTATTTTCTTCCTTTTCGTTTATTGTTTTAACATGTGTCTTTTGTATTTATATTATTTTCCTTTAAATAACCCCTATACTTATTATACTCTTTGCAATAAATAATTTTTCGTTGCTTCCGTCCGTGCGTCACTGCAGGGGTGCCAACTGAAAATCAGTGTTGGGTACTTACTGTGCCCAGCTTAGACTGAGTTGGCGAGCCCTTTCGTCGTGGACATGCTGCCACCCTGTTTCTTTTATTTTGTTTTTATAATGTTTTTTTTTTTTTTCCTTCATTGTTGTTTTTTTGTTATTTTATGTTTTTACCCGACTGCCAAAGAAGGAGGGTAATGTTTTTCGAGTGTATGTAAGTATGTATGTATGTCTTTTCCTTTGTGACCACCTGTAGCCTAAACGGCTTGATGGATTTTGATGTATGAGGTATCGTTAGATTTGTCTTGATTACGGGAGTGTCATAGGATACATTTTATCCTAAAAGTCCCACGGGATAAAGACATAATAATATTTTTTCTAAATTTCCCTTTAAAAAAATATGTATGCGGTATCATTAGATTCATTTCAATCACGGGAGTAATTAATATAGGATACGTTTTTTCTCAAAATTCCCACGGGAACATGTTAATTCTGCGTCAACGCAAAGCAACTCATGCGTTAGCAAGCAAAAAGATAGGGCGTGGCCTGGCATGCGGCGCGCGGCGCGGTGCGGAGGGGGATATGCTCGAGTATACAGCCCGATTGCGGGCACACGCATGAGGGCACACGTCGTTGACGGTCGTCTCTAAATAGCGATTTTATTCGATATATCCCTATTTGTATATATCGAAATAAAAACAGCTAAAAAGTTATAAATAAAAAAATTATTATTAAAAAAACAAAATACCCGACTGCACACTAAAAAAAGAGTAAAACAAGCCCCACAATAATATTGATCAATCAAATGCTAAAAACTAATTATGTAATACCGTTTAAACAATACCTATATTAAAATACACTACAATATGTGTTCGTAATCGATAGTTAAATAAACAGAAACTTATTTTGAATACAAATTTACTGAATATAATTTATAAATGTTGATGGAATGCATCGCAGGCGGGGACCAACAGAGGCTTATTTATAGTCATTTCGGTTGTGCACCATTTAGCAGAATTTTCGTTGGTGGCGGTCAAGGTGGTCCCCGCCTGCGATGCTTTCCATCAACATTTATAAATTATATTCAGTAAATTTGTATTCAAAATAAGTTTCTGTTTATTTAACTATCGATTACGAACACATATTGTAGTGTATTTTAATATAGGTATTGTTTAAACGGTATTACATAATTAGTTTTTAGCATTTGATTGATCAATATTATTGTGGGGCTTGTTTATTTTTGTTTTCTATATTTATTTTTGTGTTTTAATGTATATGTTTTTTAATTTTCGGTGGTCCATGTATATGTCCATGGCGAATAAATTATTTTTCTTTCTTTCTTTCTTTCTTTATACTTATAATAAAAACAGATAAATATTGAAGTTTGTCTAATAATGGCTATACCGATTTAGTTGAAAATTTGTGCGGTCTCTTAGAAGCATAGGATTATGTTCGTCTCCTGGTTCTAAGACACCGCTAAAGTACCTATCCACTCTTGTAGATATTACAACCACGTGTAAAATGTCCACACATTATCTATTGTGTGCATAGAGCTAGTAAGTTACTAGCTTGACGAACTCAAAACTCAAACTCAAAAGCATTTATTTCAATTAAACCATATTTTGGTACTTTTGAAACGTCAACAAATATGAAATAAATAATAGTCTGTCAGTCTGACGTATCATATTGTATCATTGTTTTCACGATTTTCGCCTTCCAACCAAGAGTCTTAAACTTTTTATCCAAGGATTTTCCAAAAATACTACGGGAACGAGAAAAACTTATTGTCTGCAGAAGCTAGTATTCCATAAAGAGAACACAAAACTTTTTTCTAGACCAGTGACACAGACGTTACTTTTCAGGCGTTGGTAATACTGCTAGAGATGAGAATACCACAGTACTGGTATGAACAGTTTACCCTCTCACACTTCAGAGGCTCTCAGAGCTTCTTCCATGATCCAAGCATCAAAAAAGAGAAGATCCACGTTCGCACAGCTATTCGTAATCGTTAGTAGTCGTATCGTCCATATTATAAACATAATATTCCATTCTATTCTTTTTTAAAAGGCTGGCAACGCACCTGTGGCTCCTTTGGTGTTACGGGTGTCTATAGGCGTCGCTGATCGCTCACTATCAGATGATACGCCTGCTCGTTTGCCTCCTATTCCATAAAAAAAATACTAGTATTTGTACTATACCTCTATTGTGAAGTGACAGATGTACCTATGTTACTCGGTGGACACTTAAAGAAAGCTATTATAGTAAGCAAAGTGTACTTTAAGTATACATTGTTATGGAGACGAAGAATGACAAAGAGATAACATGGCCTCACAGAAAACCAACGAGCAACAACGCTCGCGTTATGTTTCGCCGTGTGTGTTTCCCATCTTAATCTCCTCATTCCCAAATCCCTAGCCCGCAATAAGCTGGCAATGGACTTTTCTTTTCCTTCTTTCATGTTGCGGTTGTCGATGGCCGACGCTAGTTCTGGTCATCACTTTGCTCATTTGCTGGCCTATACCATAGAAAGTATTGTCTGCCGGGGCTCCGGCTCGACGTGCAGGAGAAGGAACGGGATGGTTTTTAGTCAGTGAGAGCCTGACACTCCCCCCCCGTCTCACCCAGGCGGGAACAGTCTTTCGATGATTTTCCCCCCTTAAAAATACCTACCATAAAAAGTACATTAAATATGCTATTTTTTTATCAGGTAAATTCGAAGATGATTTGTTGCTAGTTAACAATGTGCACAAGGAATACTTTCGTCATGTGCACAGGTGGGCCCCCCGGAATGGCGTCAAAGGCGTTACTTTTGGCGTCAAACAAGGTGAGTACCTTTATATCAACATTATAGTATATTTCATCAGAAGATTTATTGCGTTGCGGGATCCAAGTCCGGGATCCAAGACTTCAGTGTTCCGGTGTTTTGATTGTTGTATCTACTGTAGATCTGGGCTTACAGGAGATGCAACGGTTTTGGGAGGTTATGACGAGCTTGTTCCAAAAAAATGGGGCCTAACGTTTTTGGCTCACCAGATCACGCAAATGTGTGAGTGTTTTTGGTCCAATCACAGTAGCTGTCAAATATTGAACGTCCAATGGCGTGACACTAGCTAATTTCCTAACGGATGCTAGTGCCATCTGGTGAGCTAAAATATGGTAGGCCCCAACACACGCACTTGTAAATATATTGTTGTTCAATCATGAAACTTGGCGATTCCATGTAAATTAAATGCAGAAAAATGTGATGCCATCGAGCTGATCTGATGGTGGAATCGGAAAATGACTGATAAAACTTTGGGCAAAACCAAAAAGGGTTTACTAGTAAATATATCGAGTTTGGGCTTATCAGATACATCCATTTCACTTGATGATGCGGACATAACGACTTAAAATATGTTTTTACCTGTTTAAAGTCATAAGTCAAATTTCTACATCTGTTTTGTAATGCTTATTTCAGAGCAATGTTTAGCCATACTAGGTTATCAGGCTACCGGCAAGAGTTCGCTACTGAATATGTTGGCTGGGAACCTCGTTATGTCTAAAGGCAGCGCCTACGTTGCCGGCTACCATATCAGGAAAAATCGTATAAAGGTAATTTTCTATTCATTAATATAGCTAAATACCACTTTACTTCGGTATTGAAATATGTATCAGAGACATTGTAGAACATACTTTTTTAAAAAGAGTAACGAATGGAGTTTCTTGCTCGTTCTTCTCCATTCGAATCTACGTTTTGGAATGAGCACCTAGCGTCACCTAATTTCACTGACGGACTGACTGACAGACTATTATTTATTTTGTATTTGTTGACGTTTCAAAAGTACCAAACTATGGTTTAATTGAAATAAATGCTTTGACTTTGACTTTATTTGTAATCTATAATCAGTAGCGCGACCTGACAATTTAAGTTTTTGAACTGTGAACTGCGATCCAAGCGGGGATGATATTACATATCCTTTTTATCTTCTCTTAAGCCTTTGTGCTGTCACAAAATGATATTAATAAGGCTGCTAAAGCAGTTTGTGAGCATCTAGGGTTGTTTAAAGCTGCCACTGTGGAAGATGCGGTGAAAGAAATTAGGGGAGGAGGAATTTTTAGGGATAGAGCACCTGTCCTGGTCAGAGCTCGGTCAGCTCTAGTAAACCAGCCAATCAGAGCTCCGAACGCGGTCTTATTTTTTAAACGTAAAACAAACTCATAGTAAGGCCTCTGATTTATTTCGTTGCGGGATCCGAGATAGTTATTCATGTCATTGGGACGCGCCGGACTTCAGTGTCCCAGTGTTTCCATGGTTGTATCTACTGTTCCTGGCTTACAGGAGTTGCAGCGGTTCTGGGAAGCGGGCCTGTCCCATTAAAATATATACCTCTCATGTAGCATTTAGAGGAGGCTCATAGTCCAGCAGTGGACTGTCATAGGCTCTTGATGTGTGGGTATATAAGTAAACATAACATAAAATTACGCCTTTTACCCTCGAAGGAATAGGCTGAAGTGCACATTACGGCACTTAATGCCACTGTACGATGTAACACTCACTTTTCACTATTTGTGTTATGAGTCCCATGTAATAGGGGGTGAGCCTATTACCATATACTAGGCACAATTCCACATTCCGTGCTACTACTGACAATTATTTAAGTAAAGTCAAGTTTAATAATATAGACTTATGTTCAGCAGCTGAGATGATCATGATGAAATGTAAAATTTGTTGACAGTACTTGCACAATATAAGTTTGTCATCAGCGTCAGGAGGAATGGATGGCTTTATGACCGGAGCACAGAATCTGATTTTCATAGCACAAATGCGAGGGTTCGAGAGCAGGATAGCTTATAAAATAGCATACGTGACTCTTCGATATCTTGGTAAGAATTATCTGTTCTTCTGAAGACAGAATATATATAATATATAATAGTGCCACCCATGCTCACTCGCAACACTAGAGGAGATAACTAGTGCGTTGTTATGAAGACATAACAACGCACTAGTTAGTTATGTCTTCATAACAACGCACTAGTTATCTCCTCTAGTGTTGCGAGTGAGCATGGGTGGCACTATCGCTTACCGTCAGGTGATCTGTGTGGCCGTTTGTCTTCTATTTCATAAAAAATGTATTTGTTAAATTTCGTACGTTTTAGAGGATTTTTGTTGCCATCACCATCTATCAGATACTAACTTTGTGTGATTCGTGTTTGATCCATTTTTGTTCCGGGTGTGATGTGTACCTATGTAAAAGGGTACCAGGGAAAAAATTTAAAAGCTTCTCCTGTGGATAGTTTTTATACCACCACGCTCTTTATCCCCGAAGGGGTAGGCAGGGTACACAGTAATTTTCGAAATACCTACCAAAAAAAAAAACAATAAGTAGTGATTTTGCCTGATCCGAGAATTGAAGACGAGACTCCTTACCCTTAGTCGTTGCGATCACCCGACCAACGAAGTATTTGGATAGCGTTTTTAATAAAATGACAAACATAATCTTGTCGCAGGTATACATGGTCTCCAAGGTCTAGTGGAGCACTATAGCGCTGGTTGCTTGCGTCGCCTGTCGCTATGTGGCTCGTTGGTTAAAGGCCCCGCTGTAGTATTTGTAGACGAGCCGATGCGAGGCATCGATCCTACCTCAAAAGTGCTTGTAGCTAAAGCGCTGCGGCGGCTCGTTTTGCAGCCAGCCGCTGTAATTGTTGCTGAAACTAGGTAAGACAATAACATAATATATTTTATATTAACATTTATTGACTAGATAGAGAGGTGTGCTGGTACCCATATAACTAGGAAGTCTGTCCTTTGCTATAAATCAGATATAATTCCAGACGCCATGCTTCCGCTGAGAATTTTCGATAATATGATAATATCCTAGTGATACGTTGCCTAAACCGGGAATTTAATAGATAGCTATGTTACTAACCGGACATGAAACAATATATAAGTACCTACTTGTCTTGTTGTACATACAAACTAATTGTTACATCTGTCTCCTATTGAGGTGGGCAGAACGCAGAGTTCAGTCATCATGACAGGGCTAACACTGAAATACTCAAACGTCACTCAAATTTAAGTCACGCGTAAGCTACAGTTATGTTTTGTCTCTACAAATTCTTTGTAACATGGAAGAGATGACACGATATTAAAATACTACTTAAAACTGAGTATCCTTTCAGTATTCGGGCGTAAATTATATTTAGGTTTAGGTGACTTTTTTACCAATTCGGTACTTGTCAACTAGTCAAATTCAATACTTTTTTCGAACTGTCAAAAACGACAGTTTTCTACGAATTTTGCACGAGTATTGTGACGTCATGTTTTTTAGCGTCAAACAGCATATTTATTTCTTAAAAATACGCTGGAAAAATACTAAAATTAAGTTGGTCATGAAATCAACCTATGAAAGTGTGATTATTTTTTAATATTTTATTGTATTGAACAGTCGAAATAATTTAATTTTTGAGTAAGAAAAGTACCTACCCAATTGACACTAATGTAGTGTGAATGAGGTGCTATTGTTAAATAGATTGAGTGAATGAGCCAGTGTGAAACCTTTTTACGGTTACAGCGCAATATGGTGAGCAAAACGTAATGTAATTTAACTTCTAAATTATTTCAAATTGTACTTTTATTTATTTTATACTAGCGACCCGCCCGGCTTCGCACGGGTGCAATATGCATGTATTATACATAATATATAAAATCACTATCTACATAAAAAAACCGCATCAAAATCCGTTGAGTAGTTTTGAAGAACTAAGTTAAACAAAAAAAAAAAAATAAAAACTTAACTATTTACAATCAATATCAATGTTTGATAATGTTTCAGTTTAAATCTGTTTTCAATGTAATCGTTGTTTATTTTTGCATGGAATAAAAGGCTTTTTATATTATTTTACTTCATAATTTATTTTGTGCTTTATCATTTCAGTGTTGCATGGCGTATCCTCCAACCAGTAATTACCCGGATAGCAATAATGTCTAAAGGGCAATTAGCTCTCATAGGGCCGGCGCAAGAAGTACTAGAGTCCATAGCAACCGGGTACACTGTGCGGATCAAACTGAAGACTATGACTGCGTACAGGAGTGATAGGTACCGGGCCTTGCCTAGTGATGATGAAATGTCTGCTACCTGTAAGTGCTCTGGGTATTTTACCCATGCTTATGTTATTACAACTGCATCGTTAGCCGAGTGGTCGCAAGTTCGACTACTGGGTAAGAGTCGACGACACGAAGATTGAAACCAGGGTTGACCCCTAGGGTTTTTAAAAATTCTCAGTAGTAGCACGGAGTATGTAATTGTGCCCGGTATACGCCAATAAGCTCACCCCCTATTAAATGGGACTCGTAACATAAATAGTGAAAAGTGGGTGTTACATTGTGCACCTCTGCCTACCCCACCGGGTATAAAAGGCGTGATATTATGTAATATTATTATTGTCTTTGACGTTTTATTGTGTCTGGCTACGCCTACGCCAGTAGATGCAATTATATGTTTATTTTTGATTATGTTTAACGGGTCAGTCAAATAACTGTTTGACAAGTCAAAGTCAAAGCATTTATTTCAATAAAACCATAATTTGGTACTTTTGAAACGTCAACAAATACAAAATAAATAATAGTCTGTCAGTCAGTCCGTCAGTGAAGCTAGGTGGAGCTAGGTGCTCATTCCAAAATGTAGATTCGAATGGAGAAGAACGAGCAAGAAACTCCATTCGTTACTCTTTTTAAAAAAGTATGTTCTACAATGTCTCTGATACATATTCCAATACTGTACGTATATGTCGCGGAGAACCTAACGGGTAACCGGGGCTCCGGCTCGACGTGCAGGAGAAGGAACGGGGTGGTTTTTAGTCAGTAAGAGTCTGACACTCTCTCCCGCCTCACCCAGACGGAAGCAGTCATTCGATGATTTTCCCCCTTAAAAAAAATACTGTACGTATATGTGCGAACAATGCAAAGACACACTTGACGCATTATAGGTACTAATTACAAACCTTACTAAAAAATAAAAAAAATCTTATAGTCTAACATGGTGCTCACATATGCATACTGACTCCATAAAAATAATGCTTCTATACAAGAAAAAAAAGAGCAATGCTCGAAGGAAGGTAGACTAGTTTTAAGTCACGCCAATATAATGTACCACGAGAGTTATAGTTATAGTACGATATGGTATGTTATGTTACTTGCAGCTACATCAAGCAATGATGAGCCAGCTATACACACTGACAAGAGTGTTATGATCGCGTCCAACATCAGCGACTTCAAGAAAGATTTCCTTAAAGAATTCCCCACCAGCCAGCAAACCGGGGAACATTTGGTGAGGACAAATTGTATATATTTTTATAGATATCAATACATAGTATAAAACAAAGTCGCTTTCGCTGTATGTCCGTATGTATGCTTAGATCTTTAAAACTACGCAACGAATTTTGATGCGGTTTTTTTTAATAGATAGAGTGATTCTTAAGGAAGGTTTGTATGTATAATACATGCATATTGCACCCGTGCGAAGCCGGGGCGGGTCGCTAGTTAAATATAAAAAAAATACTCAACAATCCTGTGGCCGAACCCAGAACATAAATAAAGGATTTTTAAACCTTGCCACATAGGTTTTGGGATTCTCTTGTATCGTGGGTGCGTTTACAAACATTCAATCACACACACATAAAACATACCCGAAACAAGAATGTTCGGATCACATAGTCACCATGTAGGAACACGACACTTTACACAGCAACCGCTGAACCTAAAAGTCTAAAGGTTCAACATGGGGTTCTTCAAGAAGGGCTATATATTTCTTAAGGGTATATGTTTCTTAAGTTGCAAGTGTACCAAATGTAGGCCACGGTAACTGCTTATCATCAGGTGGGCCGTGTGCTTTTTTGCCACCGTCGTGATATATATAAAATAAAAATTAAGTTCAAAATTGTTTGTGAGACCTATTATTTTATTATTTATTAGCTATTTACGCGCGGTTTCACCCACTCTGCTCGGCTTCATCGATAAATGGACTATCTAACCCAAAAAGAATTATTCAATTCGAATCAGTACTTTCGGAGATTGGCGTGTTCAAACAAACAAACAAAAAATCAAACTCTTCAGCTTTATAATATAAGTATAGATTTAATTTTAGCCATGGTCGTCCTACTGCAGGGTAAACGCCTCCCTACCCTTCTTCTACTCGTCTCTTCTTAAAGCTTTCTGTGGCCAATCCTTTTCATAGGCGTCAATCTCATATTTCGTAAGACATACTAAATTAATTATTATGTTTTCGGCTTAATCGTATGAGTAGCAGCGCGACAGTCGCCACGTCTTGTGTCAAATACTGCTCATGGATATGAGCCTCTACATGCCTTGAGACTAGTCGAGTTCCTCGTCAAATAGTTACGTAACTAAGCCGTATATAATAATTAAGTTTAAAGTAACCCATTTCATTTCAGTCAATGCTATATTTCGCCATCCATGATGAGTCAGAACAGAAGAAACAACTGTACAGCGACATGTTTGCAAAGCTGCAGGAGTTACAAGAGAAATATGATGACGTGGTAGAAGATTGTTACTTAAATGCCACCACCATTGAAGATGTATTCTTAAGACTACAGACTCAGAAAGCCCCTCAAACTGATCGTCATCGCTCCAGCTCTATCGTAATTGACTGAACTATGAATGAAGATAATTTTACTGTTGATTTTTTAACGATAGAAATACATTTTTTGTTATTGTTAATGGCGCTAGTGTAGCTTAAGGGGACAGTCGTCGCGGAAGACACTACGGGCGTTGGGGATCAAAATTTAAAATCACGTTTTTGGTGAAAAAAAACCAAATTAATTCTTAAATACAGTTTGGTTTGATGGACAAATATTTATGATAATTAATCTTATAAGCTGTACAGATTTCGCATTTTTTGTATTTGCTACTGTTGAGAAAAGGTTTTATAAAGAAAAAAACTAACAAATCAAGTGCATAGACTTAGATGGGGCCCAGTACAGCTCATACCCGCGCGCCGCGTACACCTTAACGCATTGCCAGAGCCTCGGCTCGAAGCAGTAGTAGGAACGGGGTGATTTTGAATAAAGAAAAATCTGACACGCCCTTTCGTCTCACCCAAGGTGGGAGAAGTCATTGAATGTATGTCCTCCTCAAAAAAATTGAAGCTTAAGATGGGAGTCAGGTAGGGCAATAACAGCCCATGTGATGAGACTCCACCGCTGAATATGGGCCTTCATGGCAGAAGTACTGGTCTCTTTTTTAGAATAGGGTAGATGACTAAGTTTTATTTTAATGTCCGTCTGGTAGATTATTTTAAAACATTAGACACGTATTTTTTATTTTCTTACGGAAACGAATAGTTTCGAAAATATATTGATTTCAAATATCGCACGACGTCACTTTCGAGTAGGTACGATTTATACTCGAAAATGACGTAGCTACTTCCCACTCCTAAACTTTGATTCGTTTTATCTAAGTATTGTTTTTTTATACGAAAAAAGAAAAAAATACGTGTCTAATACTTTTTCATTACCTAACTGACGGACTAATTACATTTTTTATTTTCATACCCTGTCATCATCCCTATTCACGTTACTCTCGTAGTTAGATGACTCAGTGACGCGTTACTCAGTCTCCTTTTGACAGTTAAACAAATAAAATTAGATGAAAAAGACCTTACGCCCCACTAGCGCCTTGGTAAGTATATAAAATCCAAAACCCATTGGATTTGAATAATGAAACGTCTTTGATATTTTACTTATGATAATATACATTACTGTTTGTTATTTTTTGATTTAAATAAAATTCCGTTTATGTGGTAACGATTCTCTGATTTCATTTGATCTCGGCGTGTTTTTAAAGCGTTCTCTTTCTTAATTAATATTTTTACTTGTACATGGATTCGAAATGTTATTTTTTGACAAATTGTATATTTTCCGTTTTCATTGTGTTTTGATTGATTACGTTAATTTATGAGGTTAATTTGCTGTGTTTATGAGTGTCCAATTTGTATTGAAATTCTTGTTGATGACTATTTTGGTCGATATTGTTGCAAGAGTTCTAAAGTAGGTATGTATGGTCTATTTGTATATAAAATTTGATTATAATTTGTTCAACAATTTATGTGTAAATCAAAAAGAAGCAACATTAATCCTTTAGGATTTATGTTTAAAAGCTTTGTTTGGCTAGTGAATAATGGCTATTGGTTTTATCTTTATTTGTATCGTGAAAACAAGTTGGTCACGACTTTCTATATTATCACTAGTTTTTACTAATTCTATTGACAAAATACAAAATGGCAAGAAAGAAAATTGAGTTATTTACAGACATCCACAATGAAAAAGAATTTGATCATATGTTGAAGACCAACTCGAAATATCTTATATGTAAGTATATCTTTATTTTTGTTATATCATTTAGTATTGTGAGAAGGGATAATAGTCATTGTGACGTAAGAAATTAATCTCAATTTTCACCAGCTATGTTATCAATGATATTATTATACTAGGTGTGGTATTAGAAAAAAACATTTTCTAGGAGGTAACTCAGGTATCGATTCTGAGTCTGAATAAATAAAACAAAAATGTAGATAATTATTTTTCACTTTTTTTTTAATACGGAAATCCGTCAGTGCGAACTACGCCGGATTACTCGCCGCCGGCTTGTAACTAGCTTTATAACTGGGCTCAACACACACAAATGATCATAATCATAATCATTTATTCATTTGCGAACATGGATACAAAATAAAAGTTCTTATACAAAATAATGTCCATTAACCATATTCCACTTTAAAGGCATGCAAATTTAAAAGAAAAATACAATAATACATATTAGGCACTAATAAACTAGTATTTTACAAATGAGGTAACATTATATTAGCTTATCCTGTAAATATTCTGTGAATATCAAGCCAGATACCTACTCAACTCCAAATTCCGTGCTAGTAGTTGGTTTTCATTCCATTCGTAAACTCCCAATCTACTTTCATCATCATCTGTCTACCATCTCTGTCCAACCTACTTACATAGGTAACTTGACATCCGATGTTCAGTCGTTGCTCACATAACCATAATTAATTGGTAATGAAAAATGAATGATGTAGAATACACGACGAACGCTCGAATACTGAAAGGCTACTCAATTTCTAGTTGTACTGCCACCTCTGTCATTTTACAAAGAATAGGGTAGTTTCCTAAATTTTACTTTAATGTCCGTCTGGTACATTAATTTATACCTTTAGACACGTATTTTTTCTTTTCTCACAAAATTAAATACTTTCGACGATATATTAATTTGAAATATCGTGTGACGTCACAGCGTGTCACATTTTGTAGCACTTTGTGACGTAACGACCTCCCACTCCTAAACTTAGTGCCATTTTATCTAAGTATTGCAACATGATACGAGAAAATAAAAAAATACGTGTCTAATATTTTTTCATTATGTAACTGACGGACTAATTAGATTTTTAATTTTGATACCCTAGAAACTATCCAATTTGTAGTGACAGAACTATAATTAGCGCGTCTTAAAATTCAGTGGCGTTTGAGTATTATTACACGTACCTTAACGTCGGAAGTCATTCCTTGTGCATAAACCTCGTAATCACAGGCCCCAGTCGCGGCTTGAAACTAGTCGAGCTCCCTCGAACGAATACGTGATGTATGTTTATTCTATAACTACTTATTTCTATTTTGAATAGGTGCAGAAATATATAGTTACGCTTTTGGTTCCTGTTCAGCTCTTGATAGACTTTTCAACACTATCAAAATGAATTGGGCTGATGGCAAGCTTATGTTGTTAAAGGTATGTTTTCTACTTTATGTTTTTATTGTATAAGGCGTTATGCACACACTAATGTACAAGGTGGGCTTAATGCCATGGACATTATCCTCCAGCCAGACCTTTGGGTGATGCAGAGACAAAAACAATGGTCGATGCAAAAAGCAAACGTATTCAAGATATGACCAAGAGAAATAGATAAAAAAGAATAGTATATACGTACATAAAATAAATCCCTATATAAAATTACATGTATATGACAACAATAAACCTACGTAAAAGGGTAGTTGCCAGAAAATGAACATTAAAAATCTAATTAGTCCGTCAGCTAGATATTAAAAAAATATTTTTTTATTTGCTCGTATTAAGTTACAATACTTAGATAAAATGCAGTTACGTTTAGGAGTGGGAGATCGTTACGTCACAAAGTGCTACAAAATGTGACGCATTACGACGTCACACGATATTTCAGATTAATATATCGTCGGAAGTATTTAATTCTGTAAGAAACGAAAAAATACGTGTCTAATGATTTAAAATAATCTACCAGACGGACATTAAAATAAAAATTAGGAAGCTAACCTATTATATTAGATATACTACTTAGACGTATCATAATTATACTTACATGTATGTTTAAGATAATAGTTACGATTATTATTACACTTTGCAATAAAGAAACAAAGCTATTACTAGCATTTTTTCTTTTTAATTAATATATAATATTTTATGATACCAGTATTTTATTAATTGGTAACGCATGTCATAAAAAAGTCAATTAAGTTTTAAAATGAGAGCGCTTTGTTGAAAAAAGAATATTATTTTTAAAGTTATAGAGGGTTGGATAAATAAAAAAAGCCAGTGGCCCCGTTCGTGTTTTTCTAAGAATACATTTTAATTTTTCATAGATGAGGTATATATAGACATAATACTTTTTTAATATTTCGTCTATCGCTTAGCGTGTTTTTTTTTCGTCGTATAAATAAAGAAAATCGTTGACCATCGTTTCAAGAGTGTTAATTTGAATTACCTATTTTATTAAAGGTACCAGCTAACGAGATAAAATTACTGCAGAGATTCAGAAATCAGAGTGAACCAGTCTATATTTTTATATTGGTACGTTTTGAAGTAAATTTTAAGACAAAATTAATGGGCTTTTTTTGAGGGGTGAAAATCATTCAATGATTTCTCCCGCCTTGGGTTGGCGAGAGAGAGTGTCAGACTCTTACTGACTAAAAACCACCCCGTTCCTACTCCTGCTCTTAGGCCGTTAATTGGAGGGAGCCACGGAGAACCTAAAAGGTTGCCGCCGTTGCCGGGGCTCTGGCTCAAAGTGCAGGAGTAGGAACGAGGTGGTTTTTAGTCAGTAAGAGTCTGACACTAATGGCGGGAGAAGTCACTCTATGATTCCCCCTAAAAAGGCCGTTAATTGAATGCCTTATTGCTTAGTTGGGTGCGACAGATCTATAATTATCTAATTCTCTACACCTTCGCTTTAGAACTCCAAAGTGACGAAGGTGTTCAGAGGAGTGGATCCTATCACTTTTGCTGAAGTGGCCAAGTATGAGCTGTACTGCTTCCACCGGTGGAGAGATGGGGATCCAGTAGACCGGCCACTTTACGAAATTGATGAAGTTACTTCTGATGAAATGGTAATACCCAATCTATACTTAATATTATAAAGTTGTAGACTACGAAGATTAAAGTACCACTAACCGACAAGCATGCATGAAAAGACTGATGACTTTTGATGAAGCGAAAGAGGTATGTAGGAAAAGTAATTGGTGTTCCATAACCTACCCCCATGGGAGACAGGCGTGAAGTTTTGTATGTATGTATGTATTACAAAGACTTCCATGAAAGAGAGGGACAGGTCTAGTACTAAATAACCCTACACCTATTCCAGTATCTTGTTTGAGAATCCAAAACGAAAAGCCAATAATATTTCGCTTGATCTACAAAGCTAAGCCAAGATCCCTTGCACGGGCCTGCAGTCGGCGAATACGGGTAGCTATCGCGGCCCAACCAGAATCAGACCTGAGCGTACGTACTTAAAGTGCCATCAGACCACTACAGATGGGCTCATGCTCGATCCGGAGCAGCATACAACTTAACGAGTTGCCGGGGCTCCGGCTCGAAGTGCAGGAGTAGGAACGGGGTGGCTTTTAGTCAGTAAGAGTCAGACACTCCATCCCGCCTCACCAGGACGGGAGAAGACATTGGATGATATTCCTCCTTAAAAAAGCCCCTTGAGACAGTAGTACAGTCTTGTAATGTATTCACTGGCTCCAGAATCTATATAGGTACGTAAGCAATTCTATAGGGATTTTAAAATTTCTCTCTTATGTTCTATGTAGCCAAATGACACCCAAGATTCGATCTAAAAGCTAAGGTTATACCAGCTAAAACATGATATCCAGATGTACCTAAATAAGTACTTAATCATACAAACGCCACATATAATTTATGAGCTCCTAGTACACACAGCAGATCAAGCTACCCCAAAAATATATTACATTTATTGAAATTTCAACTCTAAAACGAAACAATAAAGTACAAAGCCAATTACAGATATTTTACAGATTACCTTAGCTACCGTCTATACAACTGCGTGTGGTTTTTCTAAAAAAATTTAGGTCCTATTAATTTCATTGAAAATTCAACTTTGAAACGAAAGAATAAAGTAGCAAATTGGTTGCAAATATTTTAC